TTCTGTTTTGATGGTATAGTGGGTTGTAGGATATTATTACAATTCCTGAAGATGAAGATGTTGGTGCTGTACCTGATGCTTCTGAAAGATTCGACGAGCTTTTGATCAGGTACAAAATTTGATCTCCAAAGACAATTATCAAAACTAAATCAATGTTTATTTGTCTTAAACTTAGACGTTTTAATAGTAATAGTTGTGGGTACATTATTAGCAATTAGGTTAATTGTAATTTGGAAATATTTCATAAATGATATAGCGAAATTCTAACTATTTAGGGTCCAAGCTAAAGACCATAAGAAGCAATCACTATTGAAGATACCTCTTAATTTAGGGCAAGATTTGGAAGTAGGTGTGCAAATCATAACTGCTACAGTACAACCGTTGGTAGCAAGAACGCAAGTATTAAGACACTATATCATTAATTATTAATAATTATCTAAATTTTATTTACCAGCTTCAGTTTATACCGACCGACTTTTAGGCTGAGCTATGTTCAATTCGATTCTAAGACTAACCAAGCACATACTGTAAAATACAAAAACGACTAATACTCTACGATATATTATGATGCAAAGATCCAGACTCATGCTAAAGACTGCAATGTGTACCGAAGTGTTACACTACAATGCCTATATCTGTAACAAAATCAAGTCTTCTTGGTACGGAGTTAGAGGGCATACTGTACATGTTTATTCAAATACTCCAAAGTCTTGACATACTTATTTATCCACTACCTACACATTCGGATCAATGATCTCGCATTTGAAAATAATTCCAACTTAATAGATAAGCTTCGATACAGCTAGTAAATTAGTAGCAATATATTTCTAAATCACGCTGCGCCTTAAATTCGAAACCAATGTTGCTGCCTAGTTGGAGGCTTGTAGCATAAACTGTTAAGTTTTAATACTTGTAAATCATTCTATATTATATACAAACTACAATAATTCTATCTCAGCAAGCGAGTGGTTTGTCGACTACGTTCAGATGCAAGTATTTATTGCAGTGCTAGAGTTATTGATATAAAAAATTTCTATCCCATCAAATCGTAATGTAAAGTTCAATTTTTTAATATTTTATTAATCCAGATCTTTGTCTACTTATTCTATTTGGCAAAATAAGCGACCTTTAAATTAAAATCATACCATGCACGTACGATGTATAATTTCTTTAAACAAAGTCGATATGATCGCAATGCATCAAATTTAGCTTTATCAATTTAATTATATTGTCAAGCATTTATACAGTAGTCAACATGCGTATACTATACATCCTATAAATCCGTTGTATAGAACGACTATTTTGTGTCATGTTATGGGAGTAAAGTAGTTAAGTAGTAGTTATCGTAAAAGACTCGCTAATAATTATTGTCTAAATGATTTCAAATAAATATAATACAAAACACTGAAATAATCAGTTACTACACAATTAGGTTATAATGATGTAGGGTTGTCATCAGGTTTTGAACAAGCTGGCCGTCCCGTGTAACCGGGTGTCTTCTTGACAACGTCTCGCTCAATTAATGAGTAGCCTAAATCAATTATTGCTTGACTAATATCTCGCGGTGGAACATTTAACACCTCCTTCATACGGGTGTTATCAAAGATAGTGGTAATATTCAAAAATGGTATAATTAATTTCAATGTCGGATCGAAAAGACTTGCAAGCCATAATACAAATTTAGGAGCGACCATGGTAGGAAATTTATAACCATAAGGACCAAATTCCCGTACATAAAGCAGCGAGATATCCTTATACCACATATTGGAATTGTAGATGATGTGACGCTGGCCAACAGCTTCAGGTACAATCATAGCTTTAAGATGAGCTGCTGCTACATCTCGAACATCACACAGTGGAAAGTTGAAGTTAGGCAATACCGGCATAGACCCATCGAATAATTTCAGTGCGGTTTGCATGGATAAAAATGGAGTATTATGTAGCACAGGCCCCACGGTAACACAAGGATTGATGGTGCAAAACTCAAATTTCTCATTATCGGAGCAATTTTCTATAAATTCCCAAGCAGCTTTTTCAGCTAGCGTTTTACTCTTACAATAGGGCTCGGTAGTTTCAATATCGGCCCAATCCTTTTCATTATAGACTCGTCCATTCTCGCCGTTCATACCTCCTATAATTGCCCCGACAGTGCTTGTCATAACGACGCGTTTCACACATCCAGCTTTAGCACAAGCTTTAAGCACATTTAATGTACCGTTCACAGCAGGTTTAATGAGTTCTTCTTCTTCATTTCTAGGCTTCCCTAATGGGAGTGGCGATGCAACATGCATGACATACTTACAATCTTGGACAGCAGCGTGCCAAGTTTCTTCGACTAATAAGTCAGCTTCGATAAGTTGCAACGGAAACTTGGCATTAGGACAAAGCTCTTTTAACGGCTTTACTTTTTTCTCGTTCGTTAAACTTCGCACAGAACCGCGAACACGGTAACCTTGTTGTTGCAATTGCAGTACGACATGTGTTGCAATAAATCCTGACGCACCAGTCACAAGAACCAAGGCTCCTTCATCGGTCTGTGCCATTGCGGATGTTGTTGAATGATCAAAGTTGGACAGTACAGATCTTCAGCTAGTCGTCGACTAGCTGCTCACGATACAGCCATGAACTACTAAACGCTACTACTATACTGTAATTAAGTAGTACTTTCTAGTACGGTAGTTGATGGTCATTGTGGACGTTGTTGAATGATCAAAGTTGGACAGTACAGAACTACAGATCTTCAGCTAGTCCGTCTAGTCGTCGACTAGCTGCTCACGATACAGCCATGAACTACTAAACGCTACTACTGTACTGTAAAGTAGTACTTTCTAGTACGGTAGTTGATGGTCATTGTGGACGTTGTTGAATGATCAAAGTTGGACAGTACAGAACTACAGATCTTCAGCTAGTCCGTCTAGTCGTCGACTAGCTGCTCACGATACAGCCATGAACTGCTAAACGCTACTAATTAAGTAGTACTTTCTAGTACGGTAGTTGATGGTCATTGTGGACGTTGTTGAATGATCAAAGTTGGACAGTACAGAACTACAGATCTTCAGCTAGTCCGTCTAGTCGTCGACTAGCTGTTCACGATACAGCCATGAACTGCTAAACGCTACTAATTAAGTAGTATTTTCTAGTACAGTGCGGTAGTTGATGGTCATGGATAGCAATTGTTTATCGTCATCATGCTTATATAAACAAATGTTGGACGATCTATAGTACAGTATAGCATCTGGGCGGGGAAATTTGCAAATCGGTGTACTGTACAGCAATTAAATTGCAGTTGAGATTTCATATTTTCCAACTCTTCCCCATGCATTTTGCAGTTACCGTACGCTCAATAGAAGCATAACATGTACTACCACAAAGTTGATGGTTCAGTAGAGTAGGATTTACCGAACAGAAGCACGTCCCTGTTGTCCAAAAAATGATAGCACACGTAGGGATTCACTTCCTCAATCGAATAGCCAATAAAAAAAAGTCATGTTCCTAGAGCTTGACTGAACTGGCATGGTTTTGATTGGGAAAGGCTGTGGGTTAACCACATATTGTTTCTTGCATGAGGAGTCATGAGGAGTACTACTGTAGACGACTGTTAGTAGAAGCAGGGATTAGTCAACCATTTTCCCCTCTATAAAGAAGAGGGGGAAAATGGTTGACTAAAAGGTAGTCATCCCCTGGTAGAACTGTAGAAGTGGATGGTTAGGCGAGAAGAAACGCGTCTGCGCAGTGCAGTCGCTTAAAATCGACAACATCTAAAAATAGATATTAGAGAGACAAGACTGTACTTGTCTATGACTCACTACAGTACTGAACTGTCAGGCGTTACACCACTGTCAGTGTCATGCCAAGTGCAGTTGAGATGCAAGTGGCATCACCCACCAGCGAGCTCAGGTAGACGCAAGCTTTGCCATTTTCACTGTCCAAAGAAGATTCAAAGAAAAATTGATTGCAAAATTGATTTTATTGGTAGTAGTATTTCCTAAATCAAGTCATAAATTGATTCATTTTAAGCAGTTGAAGGTAAGCTATTAATATTGTTGAACTTTGGATAGGGTTTGCAACTTGATTTCACTGTTTTTAGTGGTGTTGTGATGGATTGGCAAGCTTTTTGAAAGTCTTACACACTGTAAAGTAGTTGGAGCGTATCATTGAACCATGGATGCTCATCATTTGCAGAAGGGGAAAAGGAGAAAAATAGAACCAAACTAATGTTATCAATGCTTATAGGGAAATTGAATTGTCATAGAAGCCATTGGAGATACGATGACAACGTTTAGCGAAGGTTCAGCATGGATGTGGGGAGGAAGTGATATGTTTACTGCAGAAGAAGAAGATGGTCAAGACGTGGCTGCTGATCAGGAGGTACTGTCACAGTAGTCATAGACGATTTGTATCTGTACGGGGCAAAAATTTTAACCATTTGCAATCTCTATAACGTATTCGTATATTGATATGAATAGCAGTCTGTGGTAGCACACTTATGTATGCAAATTCAATTCAGCAAATTTCGATCATTTTGGATCACATTGAATGAGTATTTGCCTATCTCTACTATACTAGCATTACCGAGCTCTTACCATAGAGGTCAATAAAGACTAACCTCTATGATGATACCAATCACAACCTACGACAGTTATTGTACATAGGTACAGTATATGCGATATCCGATTTACTGTACAATCTATATTTGCATGATGTCTACCCAATGTATTATACGCAAATACTACATCGAATGGATTAATTTGCTGTATAAAAATATTATTGTTGTTATTTTGACGTGTATAATACAGTTGACTCTCTTCAAAACCCTAACAGATACGTTGGGCAAATAAAGATAGCTTAATTATGCTAATCGACTGCAGCATGCCAATGTTCCGACTTAGCGGTGGTAACGATTTAACGCCATTCCAATTGAGCATCAAGGTTAGTCAACGTCAACTTGGTAAATATAAAATAATTGGATCTACCTCGCAACATTGAGTTCAACTTCCCTAAATTGAAATTGAATATTACAATGCTCATGATGCAAGATGCAATACCTAAACACTTATACTACCAAGTGCTTCTAAGACAGCAATTTTTATGACTGAGCAACACTTGTGCTTGTAACATCTGGATATGTTCCATTGATTAATTGTCCTTGACTAATCCCTAAACTGGTTTATTATTTTCCTCAAGTGTACTAGAAGTGTTCTCATGAATAAAATTGTCAGTAGTGATAAAGATTTGGTTGGAATCGTTTTCTTCGGAACGGTTAGTTTACAATTAGCACCATGCTTATCTCTGATATTACGTGTAGTTTTGATCTCGTCAACGCATCTATTACTTTGAACTTTACAAAGCAATTACAACTTACTCTTAAGTAGCTATAGCAAGATACATAAACACTACAATATCGTTGAATATGATTAACTGCTAAAGATGACGCAATGCTACTGAATATATTGGGTGTGTACTATAATATGCGGGTTAAGTTACGTGAATATAAATCAATTTATATACATATATGTTGCAGCCAAAGCCGGTAATAGCTGGCCAGTTTCATACTACTTCCTGTATACACTTGCAGTTGCATATAGTTAAAGCTGTTTGCTATTATTCGTAAATGAATATACTTAACTTCACTTTTACTCATTTTTTAATTCGTACTTGACACAATAGGATAAATCCGGTAATCCGTCAGACTTCAAGCACATACACGTCTTGCAAGTATGCTATTAAATAAATATAAACGCAATTTTCGTATTTAATCTGTTTGCACTATACGAGTATACACATATTGATTGATTTCATTCTGCTACTAATGTCGAGTAACTTATGAACTCCAATAACAATTGTTAATTAACGATGAGAATTTTTGTTAGGAATTAGATTCACCAGATGCTCAGAGAATTTTGGAATTAGATACAATGTTAGCAGGTAATAGTCTCAACAAATAATCCGAACTATCCATTTCATACATTAAAATTAACTTATGATTGATTAATATAATTCGCTAAATACTCTCTTGTGCAGTTGTGACAAATAACTCTGCGATATTGCAGTAATATTTGATATTTGCACTTTTATAATCATGATAATACTGTCATCTAGAAACTACTTTAAATTACCCATTCAATGATATTTGTTTTAATTCAGTAATTGTAAAGAGTTCGTTTAGGGACAAAACACAATGATCTCACTAGTTGCTTACTTTAAAATCTACTTCGCGTCATTCACAGCTACGTACAGTATTATGGTATGTTAGACTATATCGAGAGTAAATAATAATATTGGAATTGAATAGTACATTTTGTGTTATCTGGTTATAGACGAAGACGGTACCGATTTTGTAGAAAATTATGGACATAATGATGACTTTTCCATGAATGATGCCTTATGGACATGCTCTCACATGTTTTCTAATAGGTAATTACTCTCAGAATATCAATGAGTTATCAATTTCAATTTGTCATTCATGGGGATGATTGACCTTGAGTATATTGAATCCATTGATTTAGCCAGCAAAAGATAGGCCACAAACGTATAATGTTATTTACGAATAACGACGATCCACACGAAGGAAATCTATCACTAAAGGTATGATTATTACTACAGATGCTTACACAAAGTATTAAGAATAGAAATTTATCGATGTTCGAATTTAGATTTTTGTAGCTTCAATATCGGCACAATATTACATTTTGAAGGGTTTTTACTAGTACTAACGTTTTGACACCGTTACCAATTTAGAGGCTGGCACAAACGAAAGCAAAGGTATAAATAATCTATCCACTAACTACATTATAAATCCGCTAAAGTAGCATGGTATGGACAAGATTCATATATAACATAATGGAATTTCATATGTTTTTTGATAAAATAGGATTTAAACGATATTGGGATAGAAATTGAATTAATGCATATTCAGTCAGCTAATAACATCTTCGATATTACTAAATTCTATCAGGTAGAAAGTTACTTTTGCTCTGGTCTAAGTTATACTATTGCAAAATTATTTACTGTTTTTCATGGTCTGGGTTATAGGATATTATTACAATTCCTGAAGATGAAGATGTTGGTGCTGTACCTGATGCTTCTGGAAAATTCGACGAGCTTTTGATCAGGTACAAAATTTGATCTCCAAAGACAATTTTCAAAACTAAATCAATGTTTATTTGTCTTAAACATAGACGTTTTAATAGTAATAGTTGTGAGTATATTATTAGCAATTATAGTAATTATAATTTGAAAATATTTCATAATTGATATAGCGAAATTCTAACTATTTAGGGTCCGAGCTAAAGACCACAAGAAGCGATCACTAATGAAGATACCTCTTAATTTGGGGCAAGATTTGGAAGTAGGCGTAACTATGTAAGTTTTCGAATTATAACTACTACAGTAGAATCGTTGGTAGTTAGAAAGTGAGTATTTAGACAATTTATATCAATTAATTATTAATAAATATCTAAATTTTATTTACCAGCTTCAGTCTATGCCGACCAACTTCAAGGCCGAGCTATGTTCAATTAGATTCTAAAACTAACCAAGTCGTTAAAACTGTAACCAAGCACATTTGTGAGGTTCGCTGATACATGTACAATTTGAATTTTATAATAAGATGGACTGTAAGCATATTTCAACGTCGTATTGAACGTTAGTATTACTGAAATTTCAAATACCGATAATTGTAGGATACTGGATCTGAGCTAATGGCTGCCGATATTAAATATTATCAGACCTTTGGCGGTGAAAGGGTATCATTGATAGAATTAGTGCTGTTAGCATGATCCCCTCAGGATATTTATTGTTTACTTTTCAGTTGTACATTTCAATTATTTACCGTTATAATTCTAGGTAATATTCGAGAAGGAAGAAGTTGGTGAAATTAAAAATTTTGGAAAAAATGGTGAAATAAAATTAACGATCATTTTCTAATTTTTTTCCTTGTACCGCATTTATACATGTGTTAGTATTAATAAACCAGTCATGAAAACAGTATACGCGTATCTGTTTTACTAGGATTAACATTAATGGGATTTAAACCGAAAAATTGTGTTAAGCGTCATTACCATGTCCGCCCATCATATTTCATTTATCCAGATGAAAGTGTAAGCAGAGATTTTAAGTATAATTAATCAATAAGCAATACTGTATTAGGAGATAGCAATCAAGGATGATTTTATAACTTTGAACACAATTAGGTGATATCTGGTAGTACTCGATTAGTTTCAGCACTTTTGGAGCGTACACTTGCTCGCGATGTTGTTGCAATTTGCAAATTTGTACCCCGCTTTGCTTCTGGTCCAAAATTTGTTGCTTTAGTACCTCAGAAGGAAGTATTGGATGAACATAAAGTTCAGGTTGTACCACCTGGATTTAACGTGGTATTTTTACCATACGCTGAAGATTTCCGGCAACTTAAATATGAAGAGACACCTGCACGTATGATTTATAATTTAGTGGATCCCAGACGAAATATATGTTATAAATTTACAATTTCATTAATTATTGAATCCCTTTTAGCAATGAATGAGCAAGTGGACAAAGCTAAAGATATCGTGAAATCATTGACTTTTCAGTATAATCCAGATAAATTCGAAAATCCAGGTAGTTTACATTCATTGCGTTTCTGCTTAACATTGCTAAAAATAATAATGGACGATTACTGCAATTCTCTGAGGTACCGTTAAAAATTCTAACTCTATTTTTAGCCCTGCAAAAGCATTATTCTAATTTAGAGGCTTTAGCTCTCGATCGCGATGTGCCTGAAGAATTTATTGATTATACAGGTACGGTAGAATAGGTTGATATATTATAATCTAAAGAGGTTGACTTTTAAATATTGTATGTTTATTTATATGTATTGTATTGATATAATTTCTATTAATACAATTTTGGGCAAATGATGACAGAACCTGATGCTGAAAACATCGATAAGCGTGCAGGACATCATATAAATGATTTTATCGAGCTTACTTTTCCTGAGGGCTATGACGCTAGTGCCGGCCTTAAAGGAGCAACGAAAAGAAAGGTAATTCATGCTACTATGGCTGCTGTAATATACTCGGTAATTTTGAGGATGATATAATGTTATCCTATACTTTGGTCACCCTCAGACCACAAGCGCAACCGGAGGAACAGCTAAGAAAGTAAAGCAAGAAACTAGCGAAATCGACGTCAAAGAATACGCGCAGAAAGGGCTGGTATGTACCCGTACATATTCGATCTATAATAGATAGTCAATCCACTATTTACGTATAATTTAATGATTACAAGGGAAAATGCTTATGCACTTCTATTGATATTACCTATTTCAATAGTTATCAAAATTAACGGTAAACGACTTGAAGGCATTTTGTAAAACCGCTGACATCAAGTGCCAAGGAAAGAAAGCTGATTTAGTCGCAGCAGTCGCCGCGCATTTTAATGTAAATTAACTTATAGGATGTTTAATAGATTTTCTCCTATTGTCTGCGGTAGACATTTCGAAAATTGATACATTTATCGTAAGCGAAATAGTAATATAAATATAGTAAATAACCCCTTTCTTTCCACTGGAAAGTCGCTGCTATAAACATAACTTTTGTTCATGCGATATTGCATATCACAATATTTTTCGTACATTCTAAGTTACAAATACGTAGTTACTTCCACACAAAGCATTCAAAAATTGAATTCTTTAGGATCTAAAGTTGACGAAGATGAACTTTTTTGGACATCTTGTAGTCATTTACGGCTGAATAGTACGGAAATTTAACTATAATCATGATAATAAAATCGGTCTAACAAATACATTTATATAAGGTCTACGCTGAATTAAGTTTTTATGTGAGGAAAATTCTTTAATAGTTCGGACTTGAATTCTTCTTTTATGCGCTTAAGACAACTCCGGTAAACTTTGCTTGACCTAAATTTTGTTATATCTCTCGATGGGCTATGAGGCATGTGAATGATAAAGACATTCGGCAAGACTAGAAATCGATAGCCTCGAGCGTGTAGTTCCATAATATGCGATACTTTATTCCATCCAAAGCCGATAAAGCGTTCATCGTATCGGGCTACATTTTTCGTAACTACAATATATGGCTCAAAATTTTCCTGCCATTGTACCTATAGTCGAATAAAGATTTTGTATATGAACGTTCCGGTAATACTCACAATGGATAATTTTAAAATTTTTATCGAGTAATAGTTCAGTAAATACTGAGCAAAGCTACATAGTAGACGTTAAGATTTATTCCGACTCATAAACATTCATCTTAAATGTAAGGCTCTTCAATAGATGCAAAGTGATTGACGGAACCGCTAAGATAATTTATTGACCATACAATGTACGGTACAGTAGAACGAAAATAATGACTCTTGTATTTACTATGTGTAGACAGAAATTTTTAAGATTACATTTGAAGCATTTTCCGGCAGAGATAATGATTATTTAATAATACGAGATAGTTAACCACGCTGAAAATTATTGCCACCACTAACTGTTATCATTCCGATTATAATAAAGTGCATACCTGATACGTTTCGTTTGCTGTCTGCCATTTCGTATAGTTAGTTGGAGAATGAGCTTTAGTGTAAAGATGATATCTAAAAGTAAATAATTCTTGCTTATTTAGTAGTGCTATCAGCCTTTCTTTCGACTCTGGAAAATTGACACGATAGCGTTGTGTTTCAAAGGCTGGTACGATTAAGGCAGCCTTATTAAAATTATGTTGCAGCGACAGAAAATCTCTATTAAAGCAGGAAAAAGTTAATTTACTAAATTTACTAGAAAATCTTAATGCTTCCTTAAAATGAAGACCAAAATAGTACCTCAAGTACTGATATGAGTTATGACTTGGAAGGAAATCGATATCGAGTAAGAAAACATAATCAGTGGTTATATAATCAAGGGCGATATTTCGCAATTTATTCACTGGGTAGCAGTCCTAAAATATTTACTACATATCAGTACAATAATTTTTATAGATAATTTCCTTCATCAATTAGTAAATAAGAATCTAAACGGGTATTCATCCTATAGTATATGAAGATACAAACAGTACAATCTGAAGCTTCCATTTATGCAAGTATACTTACTCCTTGGATATAAACGATATGATATCCTATATTTTTTCGATTGGACAAATTGTTAGAATGTTGGATAAAACTGCGTATGCTAGGAACGTCACGGTCTGTTACATAAAGAGCTATACTCATTGGACCTAGTAAATGAAAAAATGGCGTTACTATGCATCCGGCCGTGCATTTATGTTTTATATATTACATAAATTAGTTCATAAGGTAATGTCATACCAGTCCAATGTTTAGCTAAGCCGTCCAACATTTGTAAACGGTCAATTGATAAATGAGTTACAAGAGTAACATCGTAATTGTCATTCTAGAATTTAACATATTAATAATAGATGACTTGGAATTCTAATACGTCTGAAGACCTATTAAAATCAGTAACAGTGAAACAGTAATTGTTGATACTAGCAATCTGGAACAATACAGAACGCGATGCTAACCGGTTGATACTTGTAATCTAATAAGTATGGATGAATTCTGTGTGAGATGTAGGCTTCAACTCTAAATTGATAGCAAGGGTCACTCTTCTTTATGTTTATCGGCTAATAGAAGGCATACAGATCAGTTACCATAAATTATCGTTTGATACAATTTTTAGTTGTACGTGCATATTACGAGTTCTAACCGAAGTCGGCTTTAGATTGGATTTCTCACAACCAATTAGTTCACGTCTATACAGTATGACATTAATATCACAAAGTTTAATACATATTAATATTTAAGTATAATATATATAAATATGTTTATAAAGCAAATAATTAATGGAATCAGTTGCTACAAAACAAAGTTTGCTTACCTTAGCAAATTTCCATCTAATTCAATAAAAGTCTGATAAATGTTTCGAAAATATTGAATATGTTTATTTCTGACATTTATCTTTTTTGGTGAATTCCAGTGTATAATCTAAAGTCAATAAGATTTTACATTATTGTGGGCTATATTAAATCAAAAAGAAGATAAAAATATATCTATCGCAGCTATTTAATATTTAAAATCGTTAATCGTTCAATAACGTTATTAGGCTACCTTTATTTCTGATGATTTCTTATAACATGTCTGCCGTAACGGAGTGTAAAAATTGCAACAATTTACGTACCGGTAATTTATATATTATTTAATTTATTTCAATAATTTACAACTAGACAGTGATAAAGACTTGCATTAGCTTATTGATATAGGCCTAAAAAGGTAATACAATGTATAACAATGACACTTAGAGCTGAAGTAGTGTACTATTAAGTGACTGAAACTTTTTGCCTACGAATTTGCATTATAATACATATTATGAACAAACTTTACCTGGCTGCGAGTGTTATCACTTAATTGAATATTCCAGCTACACGGTAACCTGTACACTAACTTCGGATACGATTTAATTACAGCATTGATAATATCTTGATCTGCTAAGGTCGTGTAAGTTAAAGTCTTCAATTGTTTTTCGGTCACTTCCTTCCAGATATAGTTCCAGTTATTCTGTCGCAGTTTGCTTAGATTGATTAACATAACGCCAGTATTAAAACCACGACCCTAAGTAACCAGCCATTCGTTCATTTATTAATTAATTTTAAAATCGCCGTTTAACACAATTACCTTACAATGTGGTCGTAACATAAGTTGTACAATACCAAGCAAGTATCATTGATTTAGCGAACAATCTAAAACGCACATAACTGTGTATTCGAATGCTCTATCGACTATTCAACAAAAATTTCCTTGAGTAAAGCAGGTAGCGGAGAAATTTGGTTGAGTAGTCACTGGCACTATGCATATCAAGTATAATACGTACCAATGCTGGCCAGGGTGTGTGATTCTTCCATAGTTTGCCTAAGTACCAATCACTTTGATTTTCAACTAGGCCTAAAATCTAGTTTCAGCATTTATAAATAGCAGCAACTATTAAAATATTAACGATACCTTTTATTTGCGATAAAATGTATTAAGTTGTTGATATATGCGTAATAGTGATTACAACGTTAGTCTTTTACCTTATCCTTTGTTAAGTAGCGAAAATAGTACCATAAATCAGCAATATCGGCATTGAAAGTAAGATCTGTATCTAGTACGATTACCTAAATTTGCGATAATTAATTTGAAGGTCAATAGGGTGATACTGTAACATCAAATACTTATCTTAAAAGCTAAATAAGAGAAATTCATATAGTTATTTCGTACCCGCTTTAGACTATTGGGTAATATTGTAATTAATATTAATTTCATTAGTCCATAAATGCCGGAATAATGTCGATTAGGTATCCAAGCAATCTCTTTCTGTAAATGTAGTGAAAAGATTATTGATCATTCTTACTAGAAACTGTTTAATAGGTAACAACCATGCACTTCATACAAAATTGATGCGGATGAAATTAATGATCGATTCAAGCAATCCTTGTCTTACCTTGATACTTTGCAAGTTGTAAAAGCTAATATCAACTGTGTGATCATAAAGAAGAAAAATTCCTTGTTAGTAACCTTAAGAACTGATACAGCTGTGTCGTTCATCTTTACAGGAATAATAATAAGTCGCAAAGAGTTTAGTTACGCTTTAGTTGTTGCATTTAAAAATTTGGCTAACCATGGTGTAATTGCCAAGTAAAAAAGTGCTTGGACAGAATGTTCTGCGCAGAAGGATCAGCAATAAAGTGAAAATGCAGTGGATGATTTCGGTAAAATAATACAGACTTTATTAAAGTTATAACATCACGACTAGCATCATAGCCACCCACCACTATGGCCACATGAATAACCTATTAAGGTTCGATTGAAAACAATCACTTCAATTCCCATGAATACACAGAATTGAAAAGTATTACGTAGATCCAAAATTACAACATCGAAATTGAATAGTTAATGAATAGTTTCGTCAGTGAATTAAAAGCCTGGTGGAGATTAGAAGAACTATGGCATTGCCGTATATGGCTATAAAGCATCATCATTTTGTACCATGCCCAGACCTAGCTCAATAGAAATCTGAACAGCTACAGCAAATTTGGTAATATGACAATTCGTTTCACTATAAATTTAAGGTCTATATTTACCTCGCATGAACGAATCTCGCCGTATGGATGGTTATAATCAGAGGCCATAACATCATTGGCGCCCATAGACTGCCGATTTGAATCCGCATTTGTTAAATCTTGATGTTTGTTAATATTATCTTTATTGCTATTATGATCGATCGCATCCTCCATAAAGTGCATTCTGCTATTAGATGCATCAGCTGTAATAGAATTAATATTTAATATTATATTTGTTTTGATTGTGGCATCCAATTTCTTTACATCATGTCTCAGTTGATTTATAAGTTTCTTTCATACTTGGTAATATTATAAATTATTGCATTTACAATCGAGATAACTTTATCGGATAAAGTGTCTATTTAAGATTGCATCCTTAAGATTGTAGCATACACAACTGATTTCATTGACGGAATTCTTTCTACGACACTGACTATTTCATCCCATTTTATGTAAGACTACCAATTTATTATTCGCCACAAAAGTGACCGCCCCATAAGAACTTGGATAAACATTAAAGTGACGGGTAATTTCTTCAGATATAAGTAGAATATAATAATACGCGTGTAAAATTGAGGTTGTAGGTTGTGAGTTTGCTTCAATATCCACAATCTATACTAACAATGATGGTGCAGTATCCTCTCAGAAGGGATAGGAATTTAAATTAACATTAGTATCAAGCTAAGAGGTATTACGTCAGATAAATTAATTAGCAAAGCAGCATTATCCGTAATACTAATAGAATTACGGTGAATAAATAAGTCAAGGAGAAATATAGTCTTGCAATGGTGTAGCTACTGTACATACAATACAAGTAAAAGGAAGCCTAATGGCGACGAAAAAGTTAACTTAATCAGTTTACATTCTACGTTGTTACAGGGGCTATTTCTACTGATCTGCTGCAATTAGGATAATCTTCAAGTTCGTTATTGTATTGAATACACCGTATTGGATCATACTACGAGTAAAATTATTAGGGAAATTGGGCTTCATCTAATATCAAGCAAAATAGAATTACTATTAAAGCACTATTATCTCATTTTTCAGGATGAACACACGACAGTCAATGAAAATAATGAAAACATGAATGTGGTGAAGGCGTATTTGTTTCTAGACCACTGCATCATGTTGTCATCATTATTATAGTTGATGTGGTAACAGATGAAGAAGACAAAAAAGAATGGAGAACGGGACGAATCTAAATTGATTAGTACAATCACATTATTGAACTATTGAACGACTGATAAAAGTAATATGATATATGGTCGTCAGATTTTTTAAAGTCGATCTAATAACTCAAATCTGTCATTGAAGTAGTATTAGGATATTAATATATCTCGATTCTAGTCTATGATGCCGGATTACTATAATTCTACTGCAATAGTGGACTAGGATTAGCTTATTCTGTTCAATATTTACTTTATAATCAAGTAATAGCAAGTAAACTATGCGGTCTGATGATAAATGAGGAAGAATAATCTGCGATCGACCGTTTAGGATCAAAATTAAGCTGAAAGCTAAAATGAATAATGATATTATAATTATTTCAATCTTTTCAAGACTTGCATGTCATAACCTGAGGCTAAATTTTGATTATCCTTTTAAATAGTTGTCTTTATCATGCATGAGATTCTTCATCTATGGCTATCCATGCTGCTTCTTTCATTAATTATTAGTTGACATCGTCTTGAGACTTGAGTGATCTGAGTTGATGATGGCAACAAAGACTGCAGGTGTTGCGTAAATACTAATCCAGTATCCTATTTAATTACATTATAGTAGACTATCCTGATGGAAGGCAGCTGTCAATGTGTTAATGTCATCCACGTTCCTGCTTACGAATTAATTAGCTATCTGACGAAGTAGATGAAGCTAAGATGAGAGTAGTATGCCGATCAAGGCAAGTGTTATGATTTGATTTTTAAGATCATGGTTCAAAATCTACAGTACAGATGATGCCTTATCTTCAAACAAAAATCAATTTAAGTGATGAAAAGAAGATGTTAAGGTGGTCAATCCTGTTTCTAAATAGCAAGAATAAAATGGATGAATTGAGCATCTGTAATGTTTTCATGATAGGGATCGTATTTATCGACAACAATATTGCACGGCTAGACTGTTTTTCGGATCTCGATTGTCATGGCTGAATTGACAATGTTCAACGACTCGTATTGATGGAGAACTTTAGCAATAAGCAATTGCCTATCCAGCATGATCAAATTGATGAAGAATTGATTGTATTTATGACTGCTATCATAGAGGATTGTAGCATAGCATTACTCTGTTAGTCTTGTAGTATTGACTGCCACACTACCATGGACAAGGATAACCCATTGCTCCCTTTTCAAATTGACATCAACCTATGAAATATTGTCAACTTACCTTTCAATTGGATAACGTGCAATCCAGTCAAATAGATAGCACAAAAATAAATGGATAGTAATGGCATAATGACTATGATGGTGATAAACCATGTTAGAGGCCGCCGACGACGACAAGTAAAGCAATTGATAGCCATTCAGTGCAAGATTTGAACGACATACATGGAAAGGAAGTAGTTTTCAAATTCTATTTCAATGGATGAGTAGAATCGATGTTAGCCAGTACACATATGATGCAAAGTGGAACATGATGACGCGGTAGATTACTAGTAATGTACCTGCTAGCCAAGGTGCTACTACCTCATTCAGCATCGATGTCTTCTCCTTGATGGAAGAATGTTGCAAGTCGACGATAAACAGGCGGTGGAAGGGATAAGACAGCGACAGGCAAGAAAGGCGCCGCAGATCGACAGGGATTGCCTAACACCAGCGAATTGATTTTGGGGCCACCCAAGGTCGTGATCACACCTTCACTTGTTTCCTTTACTGACTTGGTCGACCAAAAGCAAACAACATGGACAAGACTTTGAAGACTAACGTTATTGCAACTTCTCAATAGCAAGGTAGACCAAAGTCAAAGCAATCAAGACAAGTCGTATCTCCTTTCTTCTTGACTTCTTTTCTACATCGTTGTCCTAGACCCCAATGCCAACCACTCCTCAACCGGTGGAAAAGAAACTCCAACTGTTTCCTACTACACAAGCCAATAAATTCAATCTTAGTTCAACAGCGACAACAACTACTCCTCCTCATCGCATGGATAACATGGACGCCATCATTGCCTCTGTTGCAGCAGCAGCAGCAGCCAGTCGGTTCTTCTCGCCATGGACATGCAAAATGAAATTGATTGAATGAAATGCTGGCCAAGAATGACCAACCCATACGCCTAGCCACTCAGTCGACAGGACTCTACGCCATCCCATACAGTACTGCATGTCCAATACTGTACCCTACCTCTATCGGCAGTCCAGCACTTTCCATGGTTGGACAGTGCTGGACGGCTGCGCAGTAAGCATTATCCAACTGGAAAAAAAACCATTCCGATCGTCAACAAATCCAAATTGCGGTCTGCAGGTACATCGCCAGAAAGAACAAGTTGCATAAAATGGATCTTGCAACTGGAAAAAAAAGATTCCGATCATCAACAAATCCAAATTGCGGTCTGCAGGTACATCGCCAGAAAGAACAAATTGCATAAAATGGATCTTGCAACTGGAAAAAAAAGATTCCGATCGTCAACAAATCCAAATTGCAGTCTGCAGGTACATCGCCAGGAAGAACAAGTTGCGTAAAATAAACCTTGCAGCTGGAAAAAAAAGATTCCGATTGGCCATGAAAGAAATCCAAATTGCAGTCTGCAGGTACATCGCCAGAAAGAACAAGTTGCATAAAATGGATCTTGCAACTGGAAAAAAAAGATTCCGATCATCAACAAATCCAAATTGCGGTCTGCAGGTACATCGCCAGAAAGAACAAATTGCATAAAATGGATCTTGCAACTGGAAAAAAAAGATTCCGATCGTCAACAAATCCAAATTGCGGTCTGCAGGTACATTGCCAGAAAGAACAAGTTGCATAAAATAAACCTTGGAACTGGAAAAAAAAGATTCCGATCGTCAAGAAATCAAACTTGCGGTCTGCAGGTACATCGCCAGGAAGAACAGGTTGTGTGTGTAAAATGGACCTTGCAGCTGGAAAAAAAAAGATTCCGATCGGCCATGAAAGAAATCAAAATTGCACTCTGCAGGTACATCGCCAGGAAGAACAAGTTGCGTAAAATAAATCTTGCAGCTGGAAAAAGAAAGATTCCGATTGGCCAAGAAAGAAATCAAAATTGCAGTCTGCAGGTACATCGCCAGGAAGAATAAGTTGCGTAAAATAAATCTTGCAGCTGGAAAAAGAAAGATTCCGATTGGCCAAGAAAGAAATCAAAATTGCAGTCTGCAGGTACATCGCCAGGAAGAACAAGTTGTGTAAAATGGACCTTTTGAAAGACTCTAATGAAGGCATCATGCTACTGTAGCAGGCGTACCGATGTAAAGATGAAACAGGTTATAGGAAGAAATGATAATTAATAAAACGTCAATCCACACAAACAATATTTAATATTACTCAATAATTAGGACAAGCTTACCCATCGTAACACGCGGGTAATCAAAGGCAGCCAATTTTGGTACAAAAAAATAAGAAAACATTGCCCACTCTCAGCTGGTCCAAAATAAAATAATAGGACTGTCCAAAAGTGGACGATTATAACGATATGTCGTCGTGGATGTTGTATAAAACTGAAATTCAACTACATCCTGCAAATACATAGCTCATACGCTATCCGTTGATATAATTTTACTCTATACTAGTCAATACTTGTACAACTATTCCATTTTTTTCCTTATTGAGCGTGCTGGACTGAGTACTGATATCGCCATTCATTTGCGCTTTAGTCAACATGGCGTCATGATTGGATCAAGAATAGCCTCTGAAATACGCACTGTCCTAATGCAATCCAGCCAAATCCTTTCATAAATATAGATCGCACAGATAGACATTGCTATTCCATAGCGCTTTAGTGCACATGGCGTATTGATCGGATCAACAATTGGCTCTGAAAGATCCACGGTTCCAAAGCAAAACCCAACTTCTCCAAGGACATGGAGACTAACTACAATTAGAATAGTATTTTCTTACTACTGTAGTGATTTGCCAGTTTCTACCGATAGAATGAACTCTCGTACACTTGCTTTCATTTTTGTCACTTGTGGCTAGAACAAAGTCATAGAGTCTTTACGTTACTGATGAAAAAAAACACTTTAAAAAGATTCTGACTGCCTTAAAAGTGCTTAGCGTCAATCTGGAAATATGAAATACCCATTCCAAACTCAATTCTTCAACTCCAACATGAATTCTACGTATATATTTTATTGGTAAAAATACTGTTCTTACTTATATTGACATACACACGCCTATGATATTGACCAATGCGAAAATCAATTCTACCAAAGTCAAACTAGACATTTCCAAATTCACTCAACTTCCCTTTCTGTAAGCATCACATATTGACAGTGAATTAATCAATTATCAATGTTAGATGGCATAGTTCAGTATGAGGAGAAGGTAGCCAACGATGATACTCATTTCCATAGCATAGGCATTATTGCTATCGTCGCCTAATGTTGCACTATAGTTGAAGAACAAGACAGTAAAAGGGGCAAATAAAACGGTCAATGTAAAATATTCTATCCGAGATTTACAATTTGCCTGTCTAGATGCGCTATACTTAAATGCATTTTCTACCGAGTGTCAACCATCTTGGAGCTTATTGCATGAACGAAAGCCATTCGCTCTGGTCGTTCAACATCTCCATTCGCTTATAACAAAAACTAGGTAAGAGAGCGGTGGTTTGCAATATTGGAGAGTTACCATCATTTTTAGGCATAGCTGCGTGCCTGAGAATATAAGCATCATAGCTTGCATGAATACAAAAGTAAATTATCGTAAAATTTGAACAATTCCAGTATTCTTAGTATAAATGGATCCCAGCTACTTTTCGCAAATTCCAAAAATTGGAATTTTGCGATCCAATTTTATTTTACCAGTAATATTACAGCCAAGTTTTATACGCCGTGCCATAAAGTGAGAACATCAAAAACAATCATTCAATAAATACATTCATAAATCAGATGATATGAAATGATGGATCGTCAGTATACTATCCATTTCAACGAGTACACATTTTGTTATAACAAATTTTGCCAATACGAGAGTCATATCAAATTCTTATAGAAAAATGAAGAACAACCAACTCTCGGCAGTATCCGTATATGACTATAATCATATAGAAAAATATCCTAGGACAATGAGTGCGTTGCTTCTTTTCTTATGATTTGTCAAAATAAAGCAAATCAATTTAGGATATAGAAACTTGTAAAAGTAAATTTGTCATCCTATTCAGCCTCGTACTAATAGAAGCAAACGCTCCATTAACGGTTTCGATTGTGGGCTTCCCTTGCTAAGCTTTTTCAACGAGAATAGAATCTGCAAGTCTAAACAGGAATACAAATAGTTGTACAGCCAGGGTAGGCATTTTAGAAGCTTCTTTACATGCAATCACTTCAATGGCAGCGAAGATTGATTGCTAAGCGCTGTTTCAGGTTCTGAAAAACGGACTTTAGGTCGTCTTCCAGCCTCTAATATCAATAAAGTAATTGTCAATGAATCATCAAAGCAAAAATTACCCATGGAAATATTCTCCAAGGGGTTAACTACAATTTTTGAGTCAATAATGAAGTTCATTCCTACGTTAAGTTAATAAGATGATTATAATTATCAAGCAAGCATGGACTGTAGGAACCGGAATATTTTTTGTACAATGGATGTTGCATTGCACGACTCTTTTATACATTCTCTCAAGTTACTGAACAACTGTTTATCGCCTTCAAATTCCTAATTTCGGATACTGCTATACAAACGATTAGTGATTAGTTATATAAGATGTGGCTATGTTTTTCTATATGCAAATTGATCGCTACTGCTGCTCTAGAAATAAAGGAGAAATAGCTATCGTTGTGGAAGCACAAATTGAGTAGATTGCAAAATTGACGCTGATTAACAATCGGCACTATACAACGTTCATGTAAAGTAATATCATTATCAACTTAATGGTTCATTACTTTGCGTTTGCTATGCAAATGTTTAATTACAATTTAGTTTTCTAAAATTGACACACAGGATTAATTCAAAGCCGCAAAAGTACTATTTATGTGTAGAATAACGCTAATAAACTTATCAATCTCAAACCTGGTTGAAAGCGAAGTTGACGTCTTCGAGCTTGATTGCTTCCACGATCCTGCATCTAGAAATCATCCAAAGAAACATTCGTCATAGACTATATGCTACTACTGTATAGTTATTTCGTAATTCGACACGTATTTAAGCAATATTTAAAGTCAGATAACCCATCAATTTTTTTAACTTCTTCAATTATAATTTGCTTTAATTCGCTATTATGGAGCACATAGTATTACTGTTCCGCCAGTCAATTCCAAACGGAAAATGTTCCCCCCCCCCAAAATCGTAATCGGTAAAAACAATATTATGCATAGATATAGATATAGTACAGTATATAACATTATGTATTCTGTATCATTGAAATGAATCTTAGGTTGATTCTTCAAGCTATTCTCAATTATTTTGCCAACTTTCTCAACCAATTGCATATTTTAGCAGTGAAAGGTACTTACTGGTATTGGTAGTTTACAGTAAATATTTCGTAAAAGAATCACCATCATCGATACAGAAAATGAAAAGCAGAGCACGGCTACTGACAGAGACAGAATGGAATACCAATAGAATCCGTTAACATGATAGACTTGAATGATAGTTGTTAAGGAAAGAGCTGCTTGAATCATAGAAACCACTAAAGAAATAACCGAAAAGGAAAAATAGGAAATTGTCTGCACAATCAACAAAAGAAAATTTCATTAACCATTTACTCGTAGAAAATGGAATACTTAATTTAAATTCAAATTCGAGAAAACGCTTTCAATATCAATCTACTGTATTGGTATTGAATCAATGAGATTAAGAACTTTTAGAGCGCTTTAGTGAAGCAATTGTATTCATAATGATACGTTGTATTTCAATCCAATTTTATCATGAATATATGCTTACAATCATAAAGGTAAAGCAGGAAATGGTCTGCAAAATCCAAAATGGAAAATATATCAGTGGTTGTGCTTATTTTCTTAGTAAAAATTTTAATCTTTCTAAGAATGGATAATTATACTATGCATCGCGATATAATCTATCATTTTTACTTTTCAATCCTTCATAGATTATAAATTTCTTGAAATTAAAACTGATCTTTACTAGTAGTTAATATATAGCTAGCACATGTTAGTATCGGCTACATTTTTGTATCGAATACATTATCATTAGCCTAATTTCAAATTTACAACCGCAATTTGTAGTGCAAGTGCGATTATGTGTTCTTTATTAAGAAACAAATTAGCCAACAGTAGCCTTTATTTTAAATTTTTAAACTTTTACAATCTTCTAAAGCTAACTTGATTAATATCATTTATTGGCATTGGTGGTGATTGATATTGAAAAATAGCAAACAAAACTACACTTGCAATTTGATTATGATAATTCATTGCCACAAAATATAACTGAAGTGGCAATTACAGATACAAAATTGGAATAGAACATTATACCTAAAGACGTTGTTAATTTAGTAAAATCAATCAGCAATAGAAATAAAGAAATGTTCTTACCAAGCGATGATTAATCCTTTGGCAATGGTTAACAATGGCTAAGCTCCCACAAATAATATACTAAAATGTGAATACATAGGTAAAAGTTTTAGACTATTTGAACCTGGACACAGTTACTACAATATTTTATAATCAATGTCGATATTTAGATTAAATATAAGCTAGTAGCAAATTCGTTCCTATCCATTTGTCAGTGCTATAGATAGAGTTGGAGAATTCCTTCTGATCAATTATAATAAGTGATTTTTACAAATTTCTAAATTTTGAGTCAACCATCTAACAAAATGCTTTCATGGTATTGCGAATTTAAGATGAGTGTACTCTTTACTACCATCAAAATTGCAACAATTGAAGAATTCTTAGTATTACCGATCTATACCAATCATGGAATAAAGGCGCTATTACACTACATGGTTAATTATTATATCGTCCAGAACATAAAGGAACTGATGCAAAAGTGAAAATGATTGCCATTAAATAATAATCCAGTTAATTATTTAAATACTATATATTTCCTCTTAATGCAGTGGTTGCAAATAATCATCACTTGACTTAGAATCGTATTCTTTATACCGAATTTCTACCCCTTGCAATATGCGTCAAAAATGCATAAAAGGTAATCCTGGACTTTATAAAATTATTGCTAATTATTCTAAAAACTTTGAAATGATCAGTATTTTGTACTTACCATTGCTCCAGCCCAAATATTAATTGCTGTTGCAACGTTAGGATCATGACGAATTTCAAGAAATACATATGGTACGCAACCTAATGTCACACTAATCAAGCCGATGATTAAAATAATGCTGCCAATGATGATGGAGACAGTGCGTATGTTTACAGGCATGGCTAGAGGATTATTCGAATGAGAATGCTCGCTAAGCTGCGATGATTCTTGAAGATGGAGCGTCGGATTGGTAGGCATGATAAATTTTTTCTCCGTTTACTTTTCGTCGATCAAAGCTTTAAATAGATCATCAAAAGCTGTAAAGTAATGATAGCCTCAGTATTGAAACATAAATACTATCATCCTAAATACTGCATTCTACGGTATGTGAATAATATCATGGTAAATATTCTCTTGCTGGGTCAGTTAAGGAGCGGTAAAGATTAGGCTTTGTAATACTCTAGATAAGTAAATATCACGTTCAGCGCAAAGTTCTATAATGTAGCCAAAGACAAAATCGATTAAAAACTAACTTCTACCCTCTTAATTAAGGGTGAACTGAAGTTGTCAATTATGTTATGTGAATATACTGATTACAGTCCTTAATTACGGAATGAAATTAATATTTTTGTCATTCAATCTAATTCGTATGGGTTATTATTTTTGCCAGGCGACGGATACAAGATAAAATCATCCTAGCACTATTCCAGCTCTGAAATAATAGACGCAAGTTTAATTAAGCTACTCATAAAGGAGAAATGTAACGAAAGTATAAATGGTCATGTAGCTTTCTACTATATTAATTGATTGTACAGCAGACGAAAGTCTCGAGAAATTATTATGTAAAGATATCTTCACACAGTAAAACATTGCATGAAAAACTAGATCGTACAATTCAGTGATCTATTCCGATGACAAAAGCTATTTTAAGTACTGTTATGACGTAAATAAATCATTAAAATGATCCTAGAATTAATGTATAGCTTGAAAGTTTTATTTTATTACTGTGATAATAATCGAAATGCTGAAATTCTAACGTAAAAATAAATAAGTATATTAAAGTTAGATAAAAATTAATTCTTGATTTATTCTCATCGTCAGAATAAAATGGCATCAGGAAATATAAAACTCGAACTAAACTGTGCTGTATATTATTCGGTACCATCATTGTATTATAAGGCCACAAAATACAGCTTTAAAGGTAATGGGTACAAATGGCAATCCATTTTTAAAATCAAACTAAACTTACAACTAAAGTTACCTGACTATGGATTCAAAGCTATTTGCCATCAAAAATATCATAACAGAATTTCTGGACCAATGTTTTAGATATTTATTAGCATAATCGATTATTTCTTATTTCATACATACTAACGCATAATAGAAAAGCATAGCCGACGTAACCGAAACTTTAAGATTAGCGGATGATAAAAGGAAATATCAGCAAGGTATCGGTTAGAATTTTTTCAAATGGTAAGGTTATTTTTGGCCTCAATGACTTACTTGTACTCTACTGAGTCATGACAAAAGTTCATTTTTCCCTAAGTCTTTATATCATGGATTATTTTGTTTATTTTCATGCTTGTTTGTTTATACTATACATACTTGACCAACAGCAAAACTAATGATTTAGACTTTGATCATGACTTAAGCTGCAGCAAAGCAATTCAAGTAAGCTGCTAAGATAAACACAACGATAGATGGCTAGACAAGTGCAAGAGAAATTAGATACACTTTCAAATTTAAAAATATTTTATGTCCTCCGGTATGGATTCATATCCTACTTATGTTGACAAATTCTATCTTACCACTGTAAAAATCATTTCATTGACAGAGCTGATAGTATTATTGAATCTAGATATCCTATTTGTTATGGCTTGTTTACGAATACTTTAGCTAACTATTATTTAATTATTGTTGTCTTGAAGTATGACCAAAGCTGCACCAGATCAAAATAAACCCTTCAAGCATGGCTTAAAGCAATTTGCGCATTGTACCAGTTTGATATTAACAATTTTATTAATTATTATTATTGACCAAACTCAATATTACATCGAGCACTTTAGCGCCCAAGCGGAAGATGCAGTATACAAACTTGGCAGACTATTCGCTACTTTTAAATACATGTAGGAATCGAAAATTTTAATAATCATTAGTAAATTCTTTTTAAAATTATCCTTTAACTACCAATAATGCAGTAGCTTTGAAAGTTACGTTTATTTAGTAGGGAAATATGAAGGTAGGGTTAATTTTTCAGTATCGTATTGAACAGTGAACATATCCATTGCTTCTAGTCCAGCACATTACTTAAAATTGCATAGAACGTTTGGAACTATATATGATAAAAGCCCTTATGGAACCATAAAAACTCTGAATACCTTTAGACCTATCAATTCTTGATAAATAATCTATTAATATTGATAGATAACATACTGAAGCTATGCTATAAATTGTCGACGATACAAAATTATGAGCATATACTAATCAAAATGCCTTGAATTACGTTTGTAAACTGATATCAATAAAGCTCACCAGCATCATTCAGTATTAGTATTTAGCTAATTTAAACCACAACCGATCAATTTATAATCATTGTATCGCTCATATTGAATTAATTTTGAGGATAATGAATTAATGGCACAAAATTGTTTCTAAGAGCAACATTTCAAGGATTTAATGCATTAGATGCTCATTTTAAATAGTTATTGCATTACGTCGAATATATAGGTTAATGCCTTTAGCAGATTATTAAATGTGAACTCATTAATCATATTATATGCAACTTATTTTTCTCAATAAAATATTACAGTTTAACATAGAAATATTATTACAAAGCTTCTACAAATCCATTCTGACATTACTTTGATATTTGATGATCGTGTATCTTCCTGAATATCTTTCTTTAGATAAGATTATGATTAAAGCCTTAGGTGTAGTCCTGTATCTGAGTTTAAATTTGAAAGATGATACATGCCGAAAAACTATTTTCAACTAATTGATTAAATCAATCGTTGGTTGTAGTACTGAAAAAGTGGCTTGAAGATGCTCTTATTATCATCTTGAAATATCGTCGATTATTTTAGATGGTAAACTAGAAAACACCCAGAAGGGTTAATATTTAATTTTGAGCATTTTTCAAAGCAGAGATCATAATTATGATACGTGAATAAATAACTTTTAAATGTAACTAAATGAGGTAAATGACTATAATTCATATTTGCTTCGTATTAAAATCAAGTGATTGAAAAATTTTATCCATGTTGGATGCTTGACTAAATATACCGTCTCAATTTTATAAGTATGCCCATAGAAGCTACTGTAAAGCTATAGCAAATCATGTAAGAATTCGAATGTAGACGTGAATATCCATATCAGACTTAAATACCAGATTGCACTGATAGATCGTATAATTGTAATTAATTATTCTCCTACTATAATCCTCTATGAGTACCTGCTTGATGCAGATCTTTGAACTGTAAAGACATCAATGTCGCAAGGCTTGATTAACCTAGAACATTGAAATAATTAATTTAATATGATTTATATTAAGAAAAAGCAAATAATAACTTTTGCTAGTCATCTAGTTATTACAGCTTATTTACTGGCATAGTTTCTGAGAGTAGAACGAAAGTTTTACATTAGATTTTTAGATTTGAAGTTTTTGGAACATGCGATATAAGTACTATACGATAGAAGGAGTGCGTAGATCATGTTCTTTTCTAAAGGTATTCTTTTTGTTGATAATTCAGTCATCCTTGCTTTTTGCTACTAGTGCAGTAATGAGCATAGAGCAAGAAAATTTCGATGTATAATATACAGTACATGGTAATACTGGATGATAAAAATAACATATTAACTATTTCTATTACTTCTAAAAGTTCTCCTTTTCTTAAAATATGTCACTGATCAGTATATTGCAACTCCATAATTCATCCTAATACCTTTTAAATGCTACTTAGCTGATTATTAGAACAGAATTTTGTTTTGTAAAATTTGAGCCTATTTAGACTGAATGACATACTGTAGTCATATAAATTAGCAAGGAAATAAGTCCATATTCCACTTACACTTTCGAAAGGCGCAAGATTCTTGAAACCACGAAAGGTAATAACAACCAAGGCTGAAGAAATAATGAAGCAACCAATTGATAGACCGCAGGTAACATAAGTATGCATGTAAGAAGCATTCGAACCGTCGTAGATCATTGAAAATACTGAGTAAATAAATAACTGAAGCATCGATAAGGCAGAGATTATCGTGGTAAAGCCAAAAGAGATGATAGTCTAAAATTAATGAAAAAATTTATTGTAAAAAGTTTAAGCCCACTAGGTTATCACATCGATACTTTATTATAGTAAAATTACGGTTGTATGAATTCATTCATTAATTACAATGGTTACACTTTTTTCGGCAAAACAGCTCGATAAATTATATTATAGTAAGCACCGAGGTAAAGCAGCCAAAATCATCGCTTAAAATAATTTCTCTTAAAATTATAGTAGGAATGGCGACCAACGATCAGATACTGAGTAGCTTACTTAAAAAAATTATCTCATATCAAAAATAGCTCAATCTAAAGGACGACTGTACTTTTAGAAGCTTTGACTCGATAAATCAATATAACTAATTAATGTATATCAGGGATGATTTAGGATTGCATCGATGTATTTAAAAATGTAATGTAAAAATCTTGCTTTCTAAGGTGTGTTTCAAAACTGGCTATTTCTACACGATACCAGTATTTATAAAATAGATAGTAATTTGTTGGAATGGAATGCGATACTGAAATGCACAGTGCTATAATAGAATGAATAAACCTGGAATCGTAAAGGATTTTAGTTACTTTAAGAAACAGTGCAGTTATATGAAAGACGGCTGAATCTATTCTACTGTTTATGTGTAGTTCGATGGAAACATAAGGATTTATCGCTCTTATCAGAAATGTAGTTATAAGTATATTCTAAGTAGTGTTTTGCCATTTAGTTTCCTAAAAATTTATAGGTAAGCTCAATATGAATAAAAGATGTTAATTGTCACTTTGCTAGCAATTATAGAGCATTACACACGCATATATCATACCAAAAATTTTGGACACTTCCAATGAAGGTTAACAATTAACGAGGCCGCGCAAATTATATACTAAAATAAAGTCAACAGTCAGAATTAGAATTCATTTGAGGAAAAAATTTTTAATATTGAAAAATTCAGAGAATTAACACGCAACAATTGCATATGAAAAATAGATTGAAAGGAAGTGAAGGATTTAGAATAAAGTATTATAAACATAAAAGGAAAATAAATATATTTTGTGATTTAAACCACCGTAGCCTGCCTGTGTATCGTTAGAATGGTAAGGTCTAACTAGCTGTCTAATATTGATAATATTTATTTAAGACCTTACAATGAAACCGATATTACGGCAAATAAGTCAAACATATATTGGATAAACTTTAAAGTGAAATAATTTGCTATAACTTTCACTAAAAATAAAATTTTAACATGATTATTATTTGCTGTTGATACAAAAATTGAAGCACTATCATAGTTCATAATCAGTTTGAATACTAATCGTAACCGTCATATAAATTTAACTTTGGAGTATAGTAAATGTTGTTATTTACGAAAGTTCTTCTACTCACAGTAATTCCTAACGCGGTATTTACATTTCTTTTTACCAGCTCGTTTTCCTGTAAGTCTTGATCTTTACAATTTTTAGCCACGGAACCAATGATAATAAATATAGAGCCGATGAATAGTATGCAAATTCGCAAAATAGTAGAGGTATAGCGGAGCCATTTTGGCATTAACACTTGACTATAAGCATTGGTGGAATAGTTTATTGATTGATAACCAGGCAAAAATTCGCTATTTGTAGATGCATCATCTTGATTTATTGCCTATGCAAGCATTGAAAACAATCTTTAATCATCAACGTCCTTTACTTAAGCCATTCCAGGTTATACTACGTTATTATGTAAACGATAACATTAGCAGAGGCTGACTTTCGTAGATAGGTTACCATGGTTTAATCGTCAAACATTTACTAGCGACTATCTACGCAATAATTAAATCAGGGATATTTATGCTATTTTTCGTATATATTTTAAATAACTCTTTAAATAGTAAGTCGTCTTTGAGATTGTGAAAGTGAACATCTTTTATACCGCAACTTTTTTGATCTACTGCAAGTATTAGCGTCATTATCCTGAATTCATTAGCGATGCGAAATTTTGTATTTTGATTAAATTTCATAATATTTAATCACTAGAGTCGTCATAAAGGCAAACAGATATGTAGACCCGAAAAAACTGAGGAATAGAAATTTGAATGTATCTTCAATAAAGCAGCATAAACTTCTCGTGACTACTACTGTCATTACTGTGTGCAAAAGTTCTATAGAACATATTGAAAAAATCGTGTCATAAAACTTTTTAATTGCACGTACAGTACTGCAGCCAATTTAAAGAATTAAATCACGTAGAAATTATACTCCATTATATTCTGTAATAGATTATAATTTAATTAAGAGAAGGAATCTACAAATGGATTATTAGATTATTTTATACTTACATCATTGCCCAATTTGGGATAAATTTGATACAGAATAAAGCCCAACTGCCTTAATGCTATAAGTAAGCAAAGTCCCGATACATAAGTTTCGATAATGTAATACCAAAAAGAATACTTAAATTGGCAAATTTCTTTTCTGAAGAGGCTCAGGGCAAACAGACTGATTATACTTTGAAATAATGAAGCTGAGAACAGTATGATTACAGACAGGATGTACAGAATTTCCTAAAAAAACAAATTAATCGTTAACTTAAAATGAATTATAAAAGTCTTTCTAGATCCTTAAATTTAGTTACAATCATCCACAGGCAATATTTGTTGCTGTGAGATGTTATCCTTTTATGTTATGTTTATGTATGTAGATGGATGTTTATATTCTCGTACCCTATCTTAGCGTTAGTACATAACTTAATACAATTACTTCATTGATGATTTACTAAAGCAGTATCGACGTAGTAAAGAGAAGAAGTAGAATTCTTTACGGAGAATTTTTTTCATTCGTAGTTCAATAATATGGCATAAGCATAATATCATAGATCTTAAGGAAAGTTATTTTGGTTATGTTAATTTGAACGATAATACTAAGGTGCTTGTTCTTTGGTATCACTTAGTTATTAGCTAGTTAGTAAGTAGGATGTTTCGGAAAGGTACTGCATTTTGAATATATTTATACTTGTCATCTGAGTGATTAGTAATAAGCATGAAGGCTATAGTGAATTGCTTTTAATGTATCAGTAAATCAGTATTATATTTCATTCATAGAAGTAAACGATACTAGAATTCATTACGTTACACAAAAGAGTTCAACAATTAGATTATATAGGAGTATTTATTTATATTGTAATGTGTTTAGTTTCACTGTAGTTATTAGACAAGTTCGTAAATATAGACATTTTGTTATGCTCCGAATACAGATACCTCTACAGTCTATTTCAATTATGCTCAGATGTAGCTTGTCATATTTAGTTATTTATAGCACCTACAATCTTCGCTATTTTCTACAATCATTTACTATTATATAGCCTGCTTATGGTATATGATGTATCTAATTCTACAATACTGTTCTCTATATGTATTCTCTCTCTAAAACTATCAATACTGATGGTTTTTGCCTCAGATTTATCAGTTGCATTATTTGTAGTAGTAGTATTTCCTCACGTTACTTCACGACGACTTACACGCTGATCTAACGTAACTAACGCATTGCACCTCCATTACTATCTACAATAAAGTATTCACTTTATTAAAATCCCTTTCATATTTTCTGTGAATGGCTACTAAGTCCGCGGCGGCTGATTCTTCGAACCCTCCATCACAGATATAGTGTTGATTTCATGGACTAACACATTACGCATCAGTTTCCTTTAGAATCTATTAAAAATATCTACAGTCGCATTAGATAGGATGATTCGCTGGTGGTTTACTAAACTCGCACATTATGAAGTTTAGAAAAGAATATACTCGGGTATAGAATCACTTAATATACTGGAGACTGTTTATCGATCTATAGATTCATATTTTAATGACTCTATGATCTTATAAACTATTAAAGCATAGGATGTTTAGCTTTGTAGCTTAATTAACAAAGCTGTTGCCATTGGCCATTGGTACAGGTTTCCATCTAATTTGCTTTTTGCATCGACGTACAGTTTGAATAACTACAGTACATGGTTTATGAAATAATAATGTATCAATACTGCATTTACTCTCAAGACTAGCTTGTATTCTATCATACGGCCTTTTGGGAAAGGATTAAATCTATAAATTATAAACGCGAGCATTAACTGTTAGATTTAGTACTTAAATTGATGAAGTACTGTACGAAGCTATGATTTCTATGTAGAGCATTTTTTTTGAAAAGAATTCTATTATTATATTAGATTAAACGTCTATCATTATCTCATATAGGAGGCCATATAGAGTTGAGTAACTGCTTTAAGATTTAATAATGTAAATAATATTGTCTATCTAACCGTACAATCGTATACTGCCAGATAGTGAAATAAGTAATGATTTACTGTATAGTAAAGCACTTAAGTAAATTGAATGTCAGAGAATTTGTACACTTCATAATATTTACACGTTTATCGCACAATTTAATATTTAAGTAATCATAAGTTGATAAATAGTTCGTCTTAGTTGAAGGAAAAATAGAGAATAACCTATACATACCAAAGTACTTTTAAGATATCGGTATAGCGCTGTGTTAATAGCTCCATGGATTATATACTGTGAACGGAATGGGTAAATTTGTAAGTTTTCATAGTAGTTTTATTATCAGATTATCTCATAGAATTGTAAAAACTGCTTTATTACTACCATGATCAATTAAAAGCCGTAATGAACTACTTTAATAGATACTATAGTCAATAAGGCCGCTAGTTACTAATAATTGAATGTTATTATTAGATGATGAAAGGCAAGGAAATAATTTTTCGCTTGCGCAGTATTAATTGTTACTAAATGCAAGGTTTCCTAAGCGAATCATTCTCGTGTTCAAATTAAACATCAAGAATAAGCAATAACTTCAGGACTAATAGTAGCAGCTATATAGATGAGGTTAGGGTTGCCTTGTACTAGAGAACGATTTCATATGACAAAATGATAAGACTAACAAGAAAGAATTTTTCAAATAAAACAATTTACCAGCACTCCGATCCAGATGTTTAATTGAATTTTAGTAGTGTACAAGATACAAATATCAGAATCCTTATTCGCTGTCACATTTCCAATAATACCCAAGACGATACTTGCTATTCCAAGGATAAAGATGCTGATAATATTAACGACACGAGATGTACGTCTTATTTCTTCTCGGCTGAGTAAAGTAGCATTTCTCTCTTGTAATACTGAAGTCATTTCGCTAGAAAATAGGTGCTGAGTCGCCATAGATTACAATACTGAGAGTATTTTTCATACGCTACCAGAAATTTTCTGTTGGAAAATAGTCTTGTACTTATTACAAGAGAGATTTGAGTTTTATTGAATATCCTATGTTGGATACGAAAAAGTTAAGCTACTACTGTTTGGCGTATCTTTATTTATAGGCTTTAATAGTACGAGTTTATTCGGATTACGTAATCACAATTTAATAAGGGCTATATATATATTTTTACTAGAATTAGATAAGCTCAAGCTGTAGGTTTGGATTATGCAAATATATGCGATATTTTACTATTACAAAACTACCTTCTGCTCAGCTTGAATTCGGACATTGGCCGTAACCTTACGATGTACTAATCTAATCAGTTTGCTAATCGTTGCGGTAGATGCTCAGATCTTCGTATAGATTAGAACAAGCCTGGCATCATATTTTAGACATGAAGCTCTAGAAAGAAAAAAGCTTTTAATTACGCTCAGTATACCATCCTACAACCCTGTTTCAATTACTTTTCCATTCTAAATTTACTGGAAATCGTCAATTACCGCTATTATTATCTACTGAGTATTGACTACACAGTTTTATTATTATTCTAATCACATTATGTGCTACTAATTGAGTTGTTTTCGGTAGATGTATTTAAAAAGTAAAATCACACATTCATCTATGACTTTAAGATTATTATAGAAAAGGCAATCTGTTGAGCCTATGGATCTATGATAATTCATCTGTCTACATTATAGAGGCTATGTATAGGGTGAAAAAATTCTTTAAGGTTGAGAGAGCTTTACTGAAATAAGTTGTCAGTGTTGGTGATCGCATCTGTGATGCTTGCATAACTCTCAAATAATCTTTTAAATGGATAGAACGATTATCTCATAGTCAAATAATGTTAAGCCTAAGCGTGATACAGAATAGGTTCACTAGGTTGTATTATGATTATTAGATTTATCTTTGAAACTTTTTTAAAATGATTACTATGTACCTTTAAATATAAAAGTCACTTCCTTACCTATAATGGTAATTATGGTACTCAGCTTGTTTATAGTCCTAGACGGATTTTAAAGTGATTGCGCAATGCAATGGATTATTATTTTTATTTTGTATTCGTAGCTGTTTATGTTTACTCTTTCCAGTAAATTGACCAATCGAGCATTCAATTTGGACCTCCATTAGAGTTAGTAGATATTTAACTATAAAAATATACTGATAAAATCGCTGCATTATTCATTTGATCATGTACACTATTCGTAACTATTTATTTATTCTAAAAAAAGATTAAATTTTATCCTATTTCCAGTGTATTCAATTCTTTAATTTGATTAAAGTCGGTTTTGTTTAGGGTAAATTAGTTTTACCCTGATAAATTCAATAAATATTCGTAACTATTTATTTATTCTAAAAAAAGATTAAATTTTATCCTATTTCCAGTGTATTCAATTCTTTAATTTGATTAAAGTCGGTTTTGTTTAGGGTAAATTAGTTTTACCCTGATAAATTCAATAAATTGATGCCAGTATGAATAAGCTGTGATGGCGCTTACAGCTTTAATGTGCAGTGCTAGTTGAGATACTAGCATAGATGAAGGTAACCAGGCTTATTATCGTATTTAGCATGCATGTTTTGCTTTAGTATAACACATAAGTAAAAAAAGCACGAAAATAAAACTTACATGCTGTAGGCAATGAAAATGTAACTGCTATGATAGAACAGTAATTTCTCTCTATTAATCTCATCTATATTCTTTTGTGATAGAAATTAATTGAGTAGAAGAGCTCTTTCTAATTTTTCTATCATAATAAAGAGATATACCAAGTCCATTAGCGAAATTCGTCCTATAAAGTACTGATTCTTTATTAAGCAGAATACGCTATGTAAGGGTTTATTGGTAGACAATTTATCTTTAATGCTTACATGAACGGAATCATTGGATTTATACTATTTACTTATATATAGACATATTTTAAAGTAATATTAAACCTAGCAGCCAAAGATTGCGATAGATAAATTAGATTAGCATTACTATCAGTTATAAATAGACATTAAAGATAGACCATTTCTAAGTTTATAAGCACAAGGAATACAGTAAATTGTTATATAAGCTTATAGAGAAACTGCAGCAATATTATACATGAACAATTTTTAAAAAAGAAGCGCACTATTTTATAATATTAGACTATGCTAACAACATTAGTGGTGTCTTGAGTGATCCGATCTACTTTAATTCTGTCAAATATTATGGCGGTTATCATTTTATTCTACTTTTGGTAATTACACACCTAGGCCATTATAACGAATAAAATTGTAAGTTCCTGTGCTTTAAGAATTAGTCACTAAGATGACTTTACAAATACTTTTAAAAATTGGTATGAAACATATTTATATGTAACCCATTACTTCCACCTGGATGGGCCTAATTGGAGAAAGTATTATAAGGTGCAATTTGTGGCGGTCCTTCGTTTATCTAAAATATTTCCAGGGTTAGTGTTAATGATGCTATATGATGTATTAAGGATCAGAGGATAATTACGATCATCAAGAATTGCTAACACTTTTACTACTTGCGAATCCCTAAACTTCTATATTGTGTAATTTTAATATAATTTAAACAGGGTAGCCTATAGATAGATTGTATCTTAAGGGTAATGTACGGTATATCTTTCTTAGCAATCGTTTAGAAATTTTGATGCTTTTATTGATTGCGTGTATTATGCAACGATGACTAAATATTACTTTAAATTTAAGATCAATATGGTTTGAACGGTTGGATTCAACGAAACGAAATTTTATGCTCGTTATCATTCATTTGAACTATTATACTGTAGCATCTTAAAGTATATTCAGAGTATGACAAATTTATATCTTATATTACATTCTTCTATACTTACAACCAGCGTCAGATTCTTAAACTTATGCACGTAAATTAGAACCATAGCTATGGATAAAACAAAGCAGCTACCGGATAGAATATAGGTGGTATAGACATACCAAGATTGATCCAGCGAGCGTAGAGCAGGATCGAGCTTTGTTGAGGCTAAAATAGCGCTAAAAAGCACTATTGATAAGGCGGAAATTATATTTAGAAAGCCAAACGACAAGACAGTCTGAAATTCGATAAAGGAAATAGCTCGTTACTTTGAAAATTAAATCTAATTGAAACTATTTCTTCTTATACAACTAGTAAGTTAATTACAATAAAACACTACGTTATTGTAGCCTTATTAACTGATTGTCTGCGTACGTATACTAGCATAAGGTATGGAATAGTTACCGAAATTCTACAAATGAAATTAGGGTGTAAATCTATAACTGCCTCTTATGCTGCTTTGATACGATTTAATCCTATATTATAGCCTCAATATCAATATGTCTTTCAAGTACTTTTGATAATAGTCCTTTCTTATTAGTATCTAACACGATAAAGTGGCTGTTCTATTTTGCAATGTAAACATGTATTAATAACTGCTCATGGCTGAGTTACTTTAATGTAATATAGATACTAGGATGCAATGCCTATTGATAATTATAATGATAATGTTTCTTTTACTCATTAAGAAATACTACAAGATGGCTCTTCTTGAAAGATCAATGCTTTTGTTTATAGACTCTAATACTGCCTTAACTATCATTAACTTAAATGCTAACTTAAATGATAGATGCTTATTAAATGTGTATATGTTATTTCAATCTTTATCCTAAGAAAAAAGTTAATTGAATTGGCTATTCTATTGACACCTATGCATAGCAATATATCGCCATAAATTGCTTTAGTATTGTACTTATCTAGGAAGCGTACATGTAAAGATAATCTAGCTATCAATTTTCTCTTAATGTATTGCAATAGCTTTGTGTAGATTGAGTTATCATCCATTCGAACAAGTTTTTTACTAGTAATTATATATCTGTGATATTACTAATGAGCTGGGAAGGCAGTTCTTTTTTACGTACTTTTATATTTCAGAAATAGTATATTTTAAAATCTTAAAATTGATCAAATCTATTCTATTTAATCTAATTCTACTCAAGAATCGAAAGTAAAGATTCTGTTAATGATTTACAGAGAAGTAACATTATATCTCATTAACGCTAACACATAATGACATGGGCATTCTAGATATAAGTAAAAGATATTAATCAACCATATTTTACATGCCGAATGATTTACTCCATACCAAGAGATTATGGCTTCCTCGACGTAGGCTTGCAAGCAATGAAATTGCACTAATTGCGAACTAAAGTAAATGAAGAATAACGCATTCAAAATTGTACAGAGTTCAAATTTGAAGTTTTAAAGTATTTAATGGGCTTAGCAAAATAAGAATATCTACAAAAAAACATTTAAACAAAGAATAATAAAGGATTAGTGATCCGAAATTGACGCCTATACCGCCAGCATGAGTACATTAAATCAAAATTTATACAAAGCCCCCAAAAAGACATAATGCTGCATAAATCGATAGACTAATGATATAATCATTTCTAAAGGAGAATGATTGCTAGAGCTTGATGCCGATTCCGCCAATGTTATCGGTATGTAAAATTTCGGTTAAAATTGACAAAATTATTGCGAGGGCTAGTTATTAATCTCCAGCTAATAAAAGCTCTTAACTTACGATACACCCTAACCAAGAGTTGACTTTTACTTTTACAATGCAAATTGGACGGAATTGTGGAGATTTTTCAATGTAACTTTGGATCACTATCAGGGCAATGCCAATACTGAGAATAGTTACACCAATAGCGATTGATATATAGTGTAGCCGTTTCGGCGGTGATAACCGATAATCAGTATTGATTGGTTGCCTTTGCAACTGATGGTTTGGTATTGCTTCGTCGTTTTTGAATGTATGATAAATAGTCTATACGATAAAAAGGAAGTTTAAAATATCAATATTATAACCTACTTGTAATTGAATTAGGGTAATATTGCTAAGGATTTGATTTGAAAGGATACTTTAATTTTTATATATTTCATCTATTTTCCACTATTAAAAATTAAGCTTTGAGCGGAATTATTACTAAATTAATTTTTTTGTTATTTGATATAAAATTGTAAATCACTGAAGAGATATTGTAATTGGATGTCATAACTAGCGTATCTCATTGAATTATCATAATTATTCAGTTCTAAGTGAGTAATGAATAATTTGTGGCGCATTGTTAATTTCTAATATGTTCTGTCTTTGAGTACAGTTTATGATATATATTTACTACTACTATGCATTACAGCTATATTAAATACAACCCAGGCACAGTACTGTATGCAAGAATTCTTTGTATGAAAATGATCGATTTTAATTTTAGTTCTATTCTATCTCGTAATTCATAGAGTAACAAAGACATCTATGGAATAATGAATTGCTAGTTTTTCGTGTACTTACATGTTGGGCCATTTCACGGTATAACACTCTCAAAATGAAAACCAGTTGGATTAGTGTGACAAGCAAGTAAAATACTGCTAATGCAGTCACAAATTTACCATACCAAAATATGGTATTACGATAAAACCTCTGAATGATTGATTCGCTTACTAGATTGATGATGGCCTGAATAACTGTTGCCGAAATCGTGATGATCATAGACATAATATAAATAATTTCCTAAAATAAGAAAGCTATCGTGATAAGTAAATATGAAGTAAGAAATGGAAAATCTTAATAAAGTCTGAGTTGCTTCAAGTACAGTATCGCAATTATTGTTAGAGCGAGATATACTATATCGCTTATTAGTATTTCTATGATATCTGTACGGAATAGCTATTATAAGGATGTTGTTTTTTACAAAGATTTTATACTAATGATATGCGATCAGGTTTATTAGAAATACAATAAAAATGAGAAGAATATCCATATGTATAAAAAAATATGGAATGAATAAGCACCGTAATTTAATCAAGAATGGCAACAATTAATAACGTTGTATTGTTTCCTCGTCAATCAATTATATTTGCTTAAATGATATTCCGTACTATAGTGAAATAAAATTGACCACTGGAGAATTAGCTTAAATTCAGCATATTATATTGTCATATTATTGCAAAAGTAGAAAAAATACGTGCAGTTATTAGTAAGATGTTATATTGGATAATTTACTAACCAATGCCGGCTTAAGATACACATACAGTAAGACAAAGATAATTCCATGGATCAAATACTAAAAAATGAAGAGATAGAAGCAGTAATAAAATTGAGTTTCGTTACTTATAAATTAAGTATGAGCTCACTTGAGGATAAGCGTAAGATTTAGGTTTTTATACATAATACAGGCTTTATCAAGGTAAGAAATTTTTAATTCTAATATCCAGAATTTTTGGCGCATCCACTCTTAATTCTAGCGTTAATAATGTATACTTTACTATTTAGTTAATTATAATTGAGTTAGATATGTCCACGATGATAAAAGGATTAAATTACGAATTGTAGATAACAAACATATTGTTCATATCTGATTCTTTCTGTATTATGCGTATCAAGAAAAGTAATACTTTTCACATTAGTAGCAAGGATAAGTATGGAGCGGTAAATGATTAACTGCGCATCGAGCGTTTCACTAGACAGTAATTTTCGATGTGATCAATACTCATTTTCGATAAGATGGAGCTTACAACTTACCAATGCTCCGATCCAGAGATTAGTACCAATTTGGATAGCGATATCGGACGCCCCATAGTAAATTGAAAATCCAATAGCTCCAAAAATAATACTTGTAATGCCCAAGATAAAATCAGTTATAATGCTGATAACTAGAGTTTTGCTATGGATATCCGTCCTATCGAATAGCTTATTAGTCTCCCCACTTATAGAAATATATTCTTGATTGGCGTGATTCGTTGCCATTGCCAGTACTAGTGAACGATTTTGATTACTTTCTGAAGGTTAGAAAAGTGGATTTGGCTATAACTACGATGATGCACGTCGCTGGATATGCCGAACTTTCTTTAACGGCGAATTTAGCTACTTTGAGTAAATCAGTTCTGGCAATGGATGTTCAACAGTTGCTATATTTGCATCAGGCAATGTATCGGATGCTGAAAATTATACCCGCGTGCTTTTTTGAGAAAATGTATCTGCCTGATAAGCTTGTAAGCTGGGCATCTTATACAATTGATAAATGACATTGTGCATTCGACAAAGGAAACTTTTTGACTGTTCATCAAAAGTACACGCAGTTAATAAAATGTTAGAGAATGGAAATAAATTAAAGCATATTTTACTTGGCCTGCCTTTATCAATTACTGTCAAATAGAAGAATATGCTGATAGTAAAAGATGAATAATAAGCTTTATCTCATACTGATATATTGTGCTAGATCAATATTTAATCAAGGAATGTTTATTCCGTCTTCACTATAGAGCGTATAAAACCTCAGCATGAACGTCGCTAATTGGATTTTTAAACAATGTTACTGATATTGCAGGGTTAATGTCATTGCTATTGGCATTTTTGACTAATGGCAACAGCAGTCTAGTAATCTTACAGTTATTTATAGCGAACATTTGCTCAGTGGTGTTTCAAATTCTCTTATAATTACGGAATTCGAAAGCAATTTGCTTTATCAGGGATAATTATTATTTCATGACTTCATCTTTTGGAATAAAAGAGGCATATTTTTCGCGATGTTACCCATAGTTGCGATGGCATCGCTAGTTTCAAAATAGCTTTGCCGTTCTATTTAAAGCTATCGCAATAGCTAGTTGTTTTGACTGATTTATTTATACAGCAAAAATCTTGATTTGCCTTTCATTTATGGTTGATGGACCCTTACTTCTATACATGTATAGACTAGCTTATGCGGACCTCTTTAAATATTGTAATAAAGAAGATTTTATCTTAACTTTGTAGTCTTGACTTTATTGTGATTTAGTAAACTTATACAGAATAAGATATAGTCTGCCGCATTACATTGGGTCAACTGCCATAGGAAAATTTTTACCTAAACTATTGAGACGTTTTAATGTATCGAAATGATATCTTAAATTTAAATTGATTACCGTGCAATCAGCAATATCAACTGTAAATATATGATATGAATATTGGAAATGCAATCAATTTATACTTGATCAATATGAAAGATTGAGAGCCATAGAATCACTTTGATAAGTATATTTTAGATATAAAAAATTAGATTTTACCTTCTGGATGTGAGTAATACGTCTGCCGGAGACGCTCAGAGCTGCAAAAATTAGCCTTTGATTGGTAAATAAATTACTTTATTATTGTATTCATGATGAAATTTGTTAAAGCTTATTGTTAAAACAGAATAGCTATTGCGTTTTCGTGGGAAACTTTCAATAGCATTACAAGTTGTATTATAGTCAATGTTGAAAATTAGATCATTGATTTATAAATAGTTAAAAGTCTTCAATCATGCGAAACTGACTAGAATAGCATCTGAAGGGAAATTGTATGAATAAAATAAATTAACACCTGATTTCTAGCCGTACTTCTATCACTAGTTGCATTGATTGACTTAAGGGCTATCGCCTAGAGTAAACCTTTCTGAAATCCCTAGATCTTTGGATGTTGTGTTAGCACAACTAGTCCTACAAGCCGTCGCACTACTGAATTACATATCTACGGTGGTAGTATTAAAAATTGCTTTTCAAAAGCATCGTATAATACAGTACATTCGCGCACAATCTTGCTTCGTAGTCCTCCTAAAAGACTCCATGATACCGTAGTTTTTGTGTATGTTTTAAAGTCTAAGAAAGATAGCTTATAGGTTAGCGACTTATTAATCCTAATACATTGTTATTTTCCTTGAATTTTAACTATAGCCGATACGGCTAAACTGTATACAATGTTGAAATTTTATAATTCAATTTAAGTGATTGGACTTACATGATGGTGAAAGGTTATCAATTATGGCTTTACCGGGAAAAATTAGTTTTTATAATTAGCTAAAGAATCTTACGTGGATGGGTTAGTATAGTAGAGTGATAGTATCATTGCTGATTATTATTCACGAATAATGACATTGCCTTATGGACATAAATTGGTGAATAATAGTTGTGCTGTTATCAAAGATAAAATTCAAGCACTATTGGAATAGCGAACGGTAGTCAGTTTCAGTACAACTAGTAAGATATATGATATCTGTACTGCTGGAATAGATTTATGAACTTGAGGCCAAAATTCAAAAAGACGTTACGAATATTCTAGAAGAAGACTGTCGCAAGGAGCCGTAAGCGAAGTGATACACTGGCACAATTTGAAATGCGTGATTATCCAGATGAAGTAATGATCATTCACTTTTCCTCCATTTTGCAATTAGCCATCATTTCTACTAATGTTGATATTAGCATATTAAATTGGAATTCATTATAGATAGTTGTAGACTTATTCATTACTTTGATCAGCTAAACTATACAATAATGGAACGTAATATTGATTACCATATGTAGAGCTATGATTCGCTTTTCGTTACAGTGAATGTATTCGATTGCCGCTGATTAATTGCAATGATATCAAGTAATTATGACAGTAGTCATTTAAAGCATCAATCAATCTCCGTCATGAGAGAAGTTTAAGAGCATTTTATCTGCTATCGGGATTGAGCTTAATTATTGGTACTGAGCATGGCGATGATGCAACGCTTATGACATATTTTCATGGCACTACGGTTTCTATCTTAATTATCGTAGCTATAATTATACCCCAAGGGTTAGCTTTTATAATAATCGACTGAGTAATTGCAAACTACAAGGTACAATACTTAGTTAGAAAATAGTAACCTATAAAGTATGCATAAAGAACTCCATAATTGAATTATTTTTAATTTAATTTGCTTTCCAATGATAACTACAACTATTAAATACTGCATTCAAAGTTATAGGTTGCAGTTTATAACCAGCTTTTAGCAGTCAATTAATCGTCGAAAGCTTAGCTTATTTTTTTTTGACACCAACAGTAAAGGTAATATTTATGTCACTGGCTGGCAGTAACGTCTTTTATCGTACTTTATGATATGACAGTGTATACGAGTATATATGAATATATACTTTAGTTTTGCAACCTGGTTAGCTATAAGTACGTTCGGGAGAGAACGAACGGTTCAAATATGAAAGTCGTAGTTTACCAAGACGAAATATCGATATTACGGAGAAATCACTTTGAATACAAGCTTTGTAGAGATTCATAGCATCATAAGTACACTATTAATTAATAAAAAAAAATGGAATACGACAGTACATTATGCGGTTTGCAGTAAGTTGTAAGATGAACTTTATCATTTTTATGTAAAAACAAATATACAGCACGATTGGTAGTTGCACAGGGCGTATGTCTGGATACAAGTGGATAGTTGTGTGCCAACAAAGTGTTCCAAAGTTCACGAACAGTTACTATAAGAAAGAATGATGTAGGTTTACAGTTTCTTGGATGCACAGCGCGTATGTTTGGATACAAGTGGATACTTGTGTGCCAATAAAGTGTTCCAAAGTTCACGAACAGTTACTATAAGAAAGAATGATGTAGGTTTATAGTTTCTTGGAGTTAAGAAAAATAATAATACGAAGTTGTAGGAATTGTCGGTTATGTCAAGATTAGATGCTACTGCTGACATTGCTACATTAGTCTAGAAGGATGCTCGCAAAGCTTGAATACGATAAATATGAGAATAGTACCAGTTTAGAATTGATTCATTTCTCTTCCTATTTATTCTTCTATCTTGTACAAGTTCAACCCTGCTGTCAATATCTTGGATGAATTATGACTGCATGTACTGTATCGGCTGGTGTAAAACTGGTATGTCTGTCAGGTTCAATTTTTGTTCAATAGGTTAGTTGATGGTTTACCGGCTCTGTGTGAGATGTTTATTCTTAAAATAGAGGATCTTGTACACGTTGCAGTGCGATTGTTTGCATAGCATGAACTGGGAAATTTTCATCCAACTCTCTAGGAATTGGTCTATTAACTAGCTCGGCTAGGAATTTTGATAGTATTACTTCTTTTTTAGATAATTTTTTGTCCCGTTCACCTTCGTTGAAAAAGGATCAATTCTATAGTGTTGTTAGTGGGTATCCGTTCTCAGTATTGACCGGATCGAACAGGTTGTAACTCAAATGTTGTTGATCCTTTTGAACCTGCATTCTATGTCTACTTAGGTAGATGTCGTTAGGTCTTGATAAAATCAAGACCTAATCTCTAATCTGCAGACTGCTAGAGAGCTAAAAGTTGGCGTGAACTCTTGAAAATAGCAGGACGTACGGATGCGCGCGTCTGTGAACTCTGGAGCCTGGACCATAGTACACAAAGTGCAGCCATTGTAAAATTGGAAAAGGTAATGACTCAAGCAAACCGGGGAGGGCATTGCTGTTCAAAATGCCTAACAATCAACATTACCGGAAATTCAAGGCTTGTATTTCCAGTACTCTTCCGCAAATAGTATGTGGATAAACTGCTGGCATTAGCAACACCGGTCGATGGATAAACAATTGTACACAGTACAGTACTGTGCGTATTCCATGTTGTGAATTCAAGGCGTCTTGTGCCTAACCTTTGGCGACTACGACGACTTGTACACTATGCGTAGTTTGCATTACCCCATTTTTTTTATGACTTGATACCCCAATGAATGAATTTTCCTTACTTTTGGTGAATAAACGAATGAATCGTTCGTTATTTTTAGCGTGGTTGGGGTTTTGCATGATAGGCATCCTTCCCTTGATGAACGAGTTCACAGTTCATTGACCTGTGTACTAGCATGGACTGGAGGTCGGAGGTGATTAGTCACTATTGAGAATGAATTGATTGTATTCTGCTAGGCGTTATTGCTTTTTCTAGTATTGCATCAAGATTAGTATGAATCTCCGACATGGATTAGTCACTATTAAAAA